GCTACCCTACTGTAGTGAATGAGAAACTTAGAGAGGAGACCGCCAACCAGAGAGTCAACAATGGTCCAGACATATTACAGTGAGGTTGCCCTGGAAGCAGAAGCTTATTCCTGCTTCATGGGGAACCAGCAAGTGCTGAGCATCTGGGCAGGAACTTGCTTTTAAGGTTAGAAAGGCAGAAGCAAAACCAGAGCACTGGCCACGGTTAAGTGTGGCAATTTTCAACCCCGCCCTTCCTGAATCCTGGCCAGTACGCAGCAGACAGGCCAGGTTCTCAGGCAGCTGAGAAACTAGCTGAGTCCCAGAGGCAGCTCCAGCCTGCAGCTGGTAATAATCAAGAGTCACTCAATGCTGGGTTCAGTCTGAGGGATAAGGTGATTCAGGAGCAGTGGGCAGCTCTAAGTTCCTGAGGAGTGTAAAGAAATCAGAGTTTGCAAAAGCTGAACTTCTTGGGATTGCTGGTGTGCAAGGGTCTACAGTGCATATAATTTGACTTATGTGAAAATAGTCTTATTCGGTAGCAAAAGTGTATTGATACCTGATATCACGCAGCATATTTTCCTAAGTGAGTTTAGAGCACTACTCAGAAGACTGAATAAAATATTAATCATTGTGAACTCTCTTTTTCTTGGAAAGACTTTTATTACACACAGTTAAATACGTATCACTGTGTTCAATTATTTGTATTTTGACAAATGAGGATGCTCTGGTAACACCACCCCAACCAAGATGAGGTTATAACTCCTTCCATATTCTGTTACCTTCCAGCCAATATCCATCACAATTATTTTATTAAATTTATCTTTGGTAATTAATATTTTTGTTAATATGGCTTATAATGACCTTTTAACTTCAAATTCTAATATAATTGGTCTGACATAGAAATACAGTATAACTCGTTTTCTAAAGGTTTGCTAGACTCATTTTTCCCTCTTTTGTAAGTATTTCATTCATTCCGTAGAATTTTCTACATGCAATATGGCATCATATCTGCACAAAGGTTATTTACTAACTTTACTTGCATCTTAATGCTTTTTATTTCCTTTCTTGTATGATTGCATGGGCTAGACTCTCCCCAACAGTGTTTAATAGAAGGGGCATGGCTGGACCACCCTGACTTGTTCTCACTCTTGATGAATAGCACTCAGTCTTCCACTCTTAAGAATTATGTTGGCTGCGGGTAATTCAGAGCTGCCCTTTCTCATGTTGAGAGTATTTGCTTTTACTTCTCACAATTAAGAATTTTTATCAGAAAGTTTAATTCTGCCAAAGACTTTGTTATCTATTAAAATGTTTATGTAATTTTTAGTCCATTAATATGGTTTTTCAAATGTGTGCATTTATGGCACAAGTCCTATCTATTTATTAGTTTGTGTTTTTAATATTATATTGTGAATTTGATTTGTCTTGGTTGTGTTGGATTTCTTCATCTATGTCTATAGGTTGTATTGCTCTATAGTTTTCCTTTCTTCTAATGTGTTTGATTTTAATAAACGCTAGCTTCATAAAACAAATTGGGCAGGAGACTCTCCTGTCCTGTTTTGTGAAGGAGTTTGTCTGGGATTAGTGTACTTTTCTCAAAATTTTCAAACTGATAAGCTTGGTGGACTTTACTCTGATATTACCTGGAATTTTAGTTTTCTATGTAGAAATGATTTTAATTAATTATGAGTGCAAATTTTTATCCACATAGATACAGTATATTTGAGTTATCAGTTTCTGTGGGAGTAATTTTAAGTTTGTCTTTCAAAAATGTCTTTTACCTGCTACTGACTTGCTATTAGGGTTTCATTATGCATTTTTATAATTAATGATGTGAAGCACATTTTTACCTATTTGTAATCCATCTGCATATATGCTGTTTTGAGTGCACGTTGACTCTTTTGCCCAGTTAAGTAGGAGCTAATCCTAGGAAGGCAGACTCTAATTTAGAAGCCTGACTTATTTTAGAGTATGTACTTTGCTGCCAAGGTGAGGACTAGTTCCAGTTATGTTGAGAACACACATGTGATGAGCCACATCTGCCTAAATGAAAGATTGAAATTGTGTTTTATCTTTGCAATTTCTTAGAACATTATCTATAATTTGGTCATGGTCTGGTTAATGTTTATTCACTCATAAACAGTTTTGCTTTTGTTCTAACTTTGTAGTGAGATTTTCTGCATTTGATTAAGATTTTCTTGTAGTTGTATCCCCCAGCACACGGTTAAGGATACAGCCAGTGTTTCTATGAGGGGTGGAGAAGGGAGGCCAGTTTGCTGCTGTTCCAGAACCCTTTTCTCCTGCTGAGAAGCCCCATGACTCAGTAGAGAACTAGCATTTCTACTGAGTGATCCTTGTTTATTTTGGCCTATGCTGTAACAAACATGACTACTTCTTAGAGGACACATCATTTAAAATCCACTGGATTTGTTTAGTCTCCAGCCTCCTAAACTATAATCTGCTAAGTACAAAGATAATTTCCTGCACAAATTAAATTCTTCAGAAATTATACTCAGAATGCTTAACACTTATGGAATATTTGGCATGTACTTGGCATTTTTTTTTTTTTTGCAAATAATGCCCGATTTTTATAACACTGTGGCAGAAGGGGTTATCTTAATATTAACATAGTGGAAAGAAACTCTTAGGCTGGTATACGTCCAGTACAAGTTCATGTTCTCTAAAATTGAAGAATGAATTTTAGAAACAACAGAGATTAAGAACAGAGTATATTTATTGAGAAACAGAAATCTTCTGTCTGACAGAGAGACAGAATGGATCCTAAAGGGTTTGCCTCAGACCCTTGCTTTTCTAGGGATTTTTGTAGAGCAAATCCTCAGTGGGAGGTGTGTCCAAGGTGGGGAAAAATGGAAAATCGCAAGATGGACATGAGATATATGTGGTACGCAACTATGGTCAACCAATAAGCTTACAAGTATAATTGCTCAGCTAAAATTGATTAAATGAGGATCGAATGGGGGAGCTAGTCACTTAGCAAGTGGGCATGAATATAAAATGGCATTTTCTGTAGGGGTGCTTGTTAGTGGCTCCTTCAGGATTTCTCAAAGGGGTAGATACTTGTTTAGAATATCAATCTCTGCCATTTATAAATAGGATGTGGGTACATTTGTTTTATCTTTTGTCTGTAGGTCTAGTCCATAGCCAGAGGTATCTGTTTCCCTGCACATTTGCAAGGTATGTCACTTTTTGCAGTGGCCCCTTCAAGGGCCTAGCCCTGTCTGATTGCTTATAATATTTTATCTAACTTAGCTGCCTATAAAAATATCATAAAAATAGAATTGAGCCTAATATTATCTAGAATCTGAAGTGCAATACAGGAGAAGACACCACATTAAGAGAAAGTGGAACTGGCTACCTTAACGAAATGTGATTTCAATCAGAACTCAAAAATAAAACACAATAGTGGGACACAGGGAGGAGCTAAAAGGGGATGCTATTGAGATAAAGTTAGTTTTTCCTTACAATGCTCTCTCCCACATGCAGAGCCAAGGGGAAGGGAGGATTGGAAGACAGAGAGGATATGGCTAAGGTCACCTGCCTGTTGGAGAGGCCTGGGATACAATCTCAGTGCCCAGCCCTCACCAGTGTGACTGATACACAGAGGAGCCTGGCTGTGCTGCTCTGGTTACATGAGCGTTTGCTTGATGATGACTCATCTTTTGTAGGGGAAGGAGACAGAAAAAGGAGACTGAGTGCTGCGTGTGGCCTCCCTCTATAGTTCTTTGCAGCTGGCTGTAGTCAACCTTCTAAGAGATGATAGAGGAAACCTACTGGGAGGATGAGTGGGAGACTTAGAGCAGAGGTCTTCCAAGTCTCAGCCACAAGTATCCTGTGTGTGCATCCAGAAGGAAGAGGGCCCAGTGCTCAGGAAGATATAGTCAGCTAATATCAGAGTCAAGACAGTTTTGAAGCTGCTTTCTACTCAGGATTCTGAGGAGAAGTCTCATGGCTCCATGGCTGGGACATGTGTAAGATATAACCTGCTCCACTCTATGTCTGATGTCCATGTGTAATCAATAGCCCTGCCTTCACCCTCAGATGTCCCCAACTATGAATGATAAATATGAGGCTATACATCTCCATTTTTTCCTTCTTTCCTTGTGAAAACACTTTGAAGAAGAGCTGGTGACTTTATGATTGAAGGAAATTTTTTAACTAGGCCACACTGACCCCTGAAACATATATGGTCCTGTCGTGTTTTTCTACCTGAATCCCACAGTCTTCCTACATAGACACAGACATACTTTCAATACCTTGGGTGGAAGGTGTTTATGGATAGAATAAGGGAATGAAAGAATGAATGGATAAGTAGGTAGGTAACAAATGGATGTATTCAACTAGGCTAGCACAGAATTTCTTATTTATTTTATTCAACTGAGTACATGTGATTTTTGTGTTTTATTATTCAGAAAACCAGAGCTTTCCTCATAAGGACTTTTCTACATCAGCCTTTGCCAACTGTTAAAGGATCGTAATGCTAAGAAATCAGGGTTCTTTCCACAGATCACCTACGGAGTAGACAGTTCATTTTCAGTGATTTGAATTTCACTCTCTTTCCAGTTTGCATCCCCAGTGTGAGCTCACGCTCACAGAGGCAACCGGCATCCCTAAACAAGCCTGTCTACCCGTCTTGGGTGCAGAGACCTCAGGTGCTTTTGCTTCTGCTGTCTACTGTTCCAGAACTTTTCTTACTTCCGAACCTTCATACAGTGTTCAGAACTGGTATCTTCTGGAAGATGGGAGACCTTTATTAACCTCACGAAAGCCATTCTTCTATAGAAGGCTTTTTCAATCAAAGATGGAAGATATGTTTTACTGCATAGAAAAAAACAAAACCGAGAAAGATGTAGGTTCATTATGTAGCCATAACAGGTTGTTCCTGTGGCCACATTTTTCATATCCTTGGGTCCAAAGCCCTATCCTTTGAGTATTTCCCAAATACAGTTGCTTGATTTATCCTTGTTTCTATTGACTATTTTGATGAGTAGGGTTAATTTTCAGCCCTGACTACAAGCAACCACTGCACCAGCTACACATCCCTGCCTCCAGAGGAAAGAAGGGCCACTCAGAGGCTGGGGAGTGGGGGAGGTACTGAGATTTTGTAGGGACAGGAAATGTCTGTGTGTGGCTGTGGCTGCACTGCTGGCACAGAGATACATGGCTGAGTCTCCCAGCTGCACAGGATCAATCTTCAGATTGGAGTATGATCCTTCAGGCTTCTCTGCTGAGAATCTATCCCTGAAAAAGTCTGCCTTATCTGTGGGGGTCTTATCAAGAAGGTAAGCCATAAACTCCATGCCTTTTTCTGCAGTCTGTCGGTACCAATAGATGTTCTGTTGACCAGAAATGGGGTCACACCTCAGAGTCACAGGCTGTCCCATCTCAGTGATCTTGTGTCTGGGTGTTTGCTTGACCCCTGGTGCCATGTGTGCTGTGGAGACAGACAGCAAAAAGAGAATAAGGTGAAGGATTGGAAGCATCCCCAGTTAAAGGCTGGATGGGAAATTGCAAGCACTCCCAGGACTCACCCGCCCTCAGGAGACCAAAGATTATCCAGCAGGGGAGAATTATGTCCATGGTAGGGTCTCACAGGCCTGAGGTCTGTCCCAGTTGGGACTCTGATTGTTAGTAGTGCAAAGGAAGCGATCTGGTGATGTCACAGCCTGTGCTGCAGCCATAGAAGCAGAGGTGTACCAGAAAGATAGGAACCTGCACACCATAAGGAACATGAGATGCCCCAAGGCTGAACACAGAGTGTCCTGCAGTGTGCACCTGATGGTAAGTAGTGCCACCGATGTGGCTCCCTAATACCACAGGGCTCAGTACAGCAAGTCAGTGTAGAAGACCTGAATGGAGTAGTAGGACCCATTGTCTTTTCTGACAGCCAGTTCACAGACTCCTTGCAGAAGCTTTCAGGGCCTCAGTATATAGAATTCAAAGAATACAGAGACAAAAGTAGGTAAAAGTCCTGACAAGTCTCAGTGTGCACAGATAATTTAGTAAGTATCTAAGGCCCAAATCTTCAAGGATATTTGAGAACAAGGAAAGGAGTGTGGACTAAGAGTGAGCTCCCCACTGAATGGATGGGAGCAGACAGAGACACATTCCTAGCATTCCCTGGTTCAGAGAGGGCACTTGTACAGATGTGACACTTTGATCAAGGCTAGGGTTCAAAGTCTGGTTTTAGAAGAAAAAAAAGAAGAGAGAGAGAGAGAGAGAGAGTAAGAGAAAAATTAGAGAATTCTTTGCTAAGACACAAATTGCAGTTACAGAGTCTCCAAAGTGAAAGAGAAATGCTCTGTATTCACTCAGAAGATCTTGTATTCATGACATAGAAAACTGAGTCATAAATTCTCTCATATGAAAAATGTAGACGTATTCACTAGCAGTGAGCATTGTTGTTTCCTCTGCAGGAGATAGGTCAGTGTAAGGCCTTCTCCATGTGACTACACATCTTAATGGACTCCTGAAGGATGTCTTTTCCAACTATACTCCAGTGAGGAATACAAAGAATCAGATGTGGAAACAGAAGGAAATCAGTGTAGCATTTATTTGAGAGACTGGTACTGGAGCCTGGTCAGCCTAGGAAGGCTTCTCCATCTATGTCCAGAGCTTTGCTGGTCCTCAGAGACAGAAGAACCATAATGGTTAGGAGAGGGTGAGGAACAAAGTCTGCCAGCTGAGTTTCTGGGATAAAACACATCAGACTGTGTAGCGGTGAGAATGGTTTCCTAAATACCAACAACAATACTCTTCCAAACAGCATCTTAACTTCTTTGGGGAGATAAGAGTCTCCTATCAATATCCTATCTCCTAGCAATAACACCTTTGTATTTAATTTTCAATTCATGGTTGATTCACACAATTTCTGTTACTGAAAATGCACAGCATCTTCTGGAGATATGACAGGACAAATATTGTCTGGCTTTGAATTATGTGTCCTGTAAGTTGACAGCAAATTAGGCATAGTAACCATGTCCTATCTCCTCCCACTGCTCCAGCAGTCCTGAAGTGAAAGCAATGGAATTCTGCTGCATATTAAGGACCAAGATCAGGGACCACCATGGGATTTTAGGTGAACTTTAACTTTGGAGGCATAAATGTATGGCTTCTATCCTGGTTCTCAGGCTTCTGAATATGAGACATTGGGAAAGTCCAATGTGGCTCTTACAGTTTCCAGTCCATTAAATGACATTGAAATCTTCATCTATGAAGCAGATACCCTAGTATCTATCGTTCCTCTAAAACACATAACAGAAAGAGTGTAAGAATATACAGGGAATGATTAAGATTAAAAAAAAAATATTAGAGGAAATGCCACCTGACAACTAATCCTCCTTAAAGCAACCCTCCCCATGCACCTGTTCCATGGCTCCTGACCTTTTATGACACACTTCTAGGTGTCTTTTCAGAGAGCTGCTTTATAAGATGTAATCAGAATTCCTCCATGATGCAACCCAGGGGCATTATAAACACATGTCGCAGTCTGTCCTCACCCGATTTATTCATCAGGTCCAGTGTTGTGCACCTTCTGGCTCTGGCCCAAAGTGAAAATAGCTATGAAAGGTAAACATCTGAATCAATTCAAGACATAGACGCAGTACAACTAAGACACAGAAGAAAATCTCCACCACTGCTTCATAAAGTGGCAAGAACGATGGGATGAGTGTGTTCAAAGCAAGAGAGAGAATGAGGGTGGGTAGTAACAATGTGCCCTTTTCTGTAATCTATTTTTAACTTAAATATTCATGAGATTTTCAATCACACTGCATCCACCCACACACACCTGCAGAGTAAGGCCCCTTCCAGTGGCTGAAATTGAAAGGTCCAGGCAGAGGCTTGAGAGCAACCTCCAGGCCTAGAACCTGAACTTCCATGAGCGCTGTGGCTGAGCACAGCAGAGGTGGGAGAGGTTAGCAAAGCACTGCAGGCATCCACAGGGCTTGGGTTAAGGTGACAACCTGCCCATTTCCCCATGCCATCCTCAGCTGGTGCTGCAAGGTTGGAGTGCAGAAAGCCAGTGGTTCTGCAAGCCTGTGTCACACTGCTGGCACAGAGATACACAGCAGTATCTCTTAACTCCAAGGCGCACATGTTCAGCTCGGAGTGATAGTCACTGAACTGCTGACCTGAGAATCAGTCAGGCATGTTTCCTTTAGCTCTCTGCCACATTTCATAAAACTTAATGACCAACTGGAGGCCTTGACCAGGAGCCTGCTGATACCAGCACATGCTGGTGAATCCAGAGGTGGAGTAGCATATCAGAGTGGACTTCCCTCCCTTGGATTTGATTAGGTGCTTTGGTGACTGGATGACTTCAGCATCTAGAAAATCTAAGGGAAAAGGAAACAGAAACGAGCGCCTAAACAGTAAGAACCTGATGCTCCAGCAATAATAAAGAGCTGTTGCCCAGGAGCCATCGCACCCCTTCTCAGGACTCACCTGCTCCCAGGAGACAAAGTGTCAGACAGCAGAGGACCCTGGGTCCCCAAGCTAAGTCTGGAAAGACAAGACAGGGCATCTCCCTACACAAAGTGCTGGTCTTCTGCACTAGGTAGCAGCTGTTCTGTTCTGTTCTCTCTTTTCTCTGTTTGGAGCATTTGCCTGTAACATTAGGGATTTCAATCTCCCCTCCAATAGAATCGCTGCACCCCAGGGCATGATCAAGGGCCAGGTCCTCCTCAAGTAGGCTGAGCTTCTGATGAGCTGGGGAAGCTTCTCCCAGGACTGAAGAGTGGCTCAGATAACCCACGCCTCAGCTTCTCTAGCTCATCTCAGACAGTGTGGCCAGGATGGTCCAGGGTGTCCCCTGAAGCCTCATCACATTCACCTCATTCATAGACTCCTGCAGAGGCTATGACTATAGACTAAGGTTGCAGTTCATGTCTCCCAATGGTGACAAACACATGAACATTTGTGCAGTGGTACAAAGATCTTAATTAACACAGACTCTGATGCATCCATGTCCCCAGCAAACACCAAGCAAAGAAGCTTCAAGGCACACTTGGAGAATCCACAGCGCCCTCACGTGGGTAGCCAGGCAGTCACCGAGATGTCCTAGTATTGCTGCTGTGCCTGAAAACTGGGTGCTTTGCAGTAATATCAGTGTTTCTTGTAACACAGAAGGAAATGTGAAGCAAATTTCTCTTTCTTGTTTTTTCTGAAAACAGGAAACTAAATGAAAAATCTTATCAATTTGTATTGTAGGAAGTGAGAAAGCCTCCAGTCGTTGCTACCTGCACTTGGAATGGGGTGGGAGCTTGGCAAAATGCTTCCCAAGGAAAAGTAACACCCAGAGGAGCCAGCAGGAAATTCTATCACTCAGTAACTCTGGGCAACTGGGGAAATGATCCAACAAGTCCAAGAAGATAAAAATGACTTCTAGGATATCGTGTATTTTTGGAAGTGCCTGTTACATGCTTTCCTTCCTTTTCTTGGGTTTAACTGTTTTCTTCATGATGCATTTGGAGAAATTCTATTATGTATATGTCTATTTCTCATACGTAATATTATTAATACCTTTGTAGACTACATTAAATGTGCACACACAGGCACACAGATAGCAAGCATTTTTAAATTCAGTATTACAGCTTATGTTTTTTAATTGGCTCATTCAGAGTAGGTAGATAATTAAGATTTGATATGGTTATTGATCTTGTTACATTTATCCCTTTCAACTTGCATTTCTTTTCTGTTGGCCTCATCTCTCTTGATCCTGTTTTGAGGCAGTTCTGTGGATTAGTAGAGAGCTTTAATAAATGCATTCATTCATCTAGCCTATCAGCTATACATCTGCTTTGTTTTTTAGTGGTTGCTGTAGAGTATGCATTTGTATTTTAACACAGCCTATTTTTAAATAATTTCACACAGTTTAGAAAAAACTTACAGTTCTGTGATATTTATTAATCATTTTCTCTTGTTGATACAATTACTTTTATCAATTTGAGTTATACATTTATTTTATTTTATATTAAAATGAGTAAAACTAAACATAACAAAACAAAGCACATCAGAAGAAAACAATGTAAGTGGCACAGACTTCAAAACAAGACCACATGAGATCTACAGTGGCTACCATAATGTCTCTTGTTTTCTTCTAAATTATTGTCTATATCTTCACACACAAATTCATACAAAACAAAATAGAATAAAACTGATCAAACCAGGATAATGAAGGCATTACAGGCCTTCAGAACAAGACTATATGAAAATTGATAATGCTGCCATAATGTCTCTTTTTCTCTTCAAATACCTGTCGGTACCTTTATGCATATTGAAATTAAGCAATACAAAAGAGACTAAAACCACTATGAACAAGGATAGAAGCATTGTTGGATTTCACAGCATGATGATATAAAATCAGCAATGGATACCATCCTGTCTGTTTTTATTAAAAATAGCTGTTCATTTCATCGCACATAATATAATCCATTCTCATAAACTGTTAGGAGAAGCTCTAGGCATGTATAAGCCTCTACATGTATAGTTATCCTTTCTGTATTAGAACAAAAAAAACAAAATAAAACTAAACAAGATTACCATTACAATGAGAAAGACAAATAGATAACAATAGCAAAGAGCCCCAAACAATAATAACACAGGACTTTAAAACACGGTTGTAGGAACAAAACTAAGACTGATATTTTACATTGGGATCTTTAAGAGTTCCACAGGTCACTTGAGGCAAA